TCTCCCGAATCTGGAACGAACAAGCGCACATTTAATGGGAAGAATCCCATACAATCATCTGAGGAGAGACAAGAGGTGGCAACTAATTATGCAGCCACAACAGCAATACCCACACAACCACGACGGTATGAAGGAAAAATCCCAAAATGCACTCAGTGTAGCCGTCACCATCTAGGTAACTGCTTTATATGCACTCACTACAAGAAAAAGGAACACACCGCCAATTTCTGCAGGAGCAAAACACTTACAACAGAAAATCAAGGAACAAACACTGGAACAGGCTATGATGGAGGAAGAGCGTGTTTTGAGTGTGGTGAAATTGGACATATCAAGAAGGAATGTCCAAAGTTAAGGAGTCAAGGAAGTTAGGCCGTGGCAGGGCATTCGTAACAGGAAACAAGGAAGCTATCCAGGACCCTGCAGTGGAATTTGGTACAAATAAATTTCGGGACGAAATTTTATCAACGGGGGGAGAATGTAACACTAGTCAAAAGTAGGTCAATAACAATCACATGTGATTATACCAATCATGTAATGTGATCTTGTTAAAACTAGTAATGTGATAAACTTACTATGTATTTCATGATAATTCTAATACAAATATGAACTTTCTTTATGATACAACTCAAATTATACATCCATACGATTCCAAAAATATAGAGAACGTCTAAATCTGACTTCGCGTGAAGAAGTTATGATAAACCGAACACTATAAATCTCTATAAAAAGAGGAATTAAAAATAGACTTAGAATTAGCTATTTGAGTCTAAAGATAGTTGTAGTACTCGTAAATACCTACGCGTGGATATAAAGAACGTCAAAAACGGAGTTCGTATGCAAAAGTTATGGCCTTCCGAAGATTTCGCTGTCAGAAACCCTAATTTGACTGAACTCACGACGTGAGCATAAAAACTCACGACGTGAGGAGTCAAACCGCCATATTTCGGATCTAGAAGGTGTGACGAGGCTGCGAGGGGATAAGATCCAAACTCTCGACGTGAACAAGGAGTTTTTCACGACGTGAGGAGTCATTTTGCCACCTTCGGAAGCTAGAAGACGGATGGCAAGTCTACGAAGAGATAAGATCCAAACTCACGACGTGAACAATGAGTTTTTCACGTCGTGAGGGCCAAAAATCTTACTATAAATAGCAAGATCGACCCCAGCCATTCTTACACCTGAACTTCTTTCTCCTCTCTCATTTGCTGAAGCCCTCTTGCATCCCGAACCCTGACGACCTCGTATGACTGTTTCTGCTTAGATTACATAAAATCACGCTACTAAGGTGAGTTTCACGGCCCCACTTTCTAATCTTTTGGGGGAAAATGCATGCTAAATATTATATATACGTTATTATTATGTCTATATGATAGTATATTAGTATGACGTAGATAGTTATAATAACCGAGATATAGTTATTTCATATTTGAAAGTATACAACTATCGTAAAGTTGTTAGCATGTTATTGTTATAGTAGTATATTAATGTAGATCTTGAGTTATACTTAGGTAACTATATATATATTGTGTGCGATATAGTTCCGAAGTTATATTCGGAAGTTCTATATGTTAAGTTATAAAGTATGTTGCTATTATTGGTTTTATGTCAAGATAAAACTTGGTATGCTATATGTTGTTATTGTTAGTTTTATGTCAAGATAAAACTTAGTATGTTATATATTGTTATTGATAGTTTTATGTCAAGATAAAACTAGGAACGTTATATGTTGTTATTATTGGTTTTATGTCAAGATAAAACCTGGTTTTAATTCTAATTATAGCTGTTGTACTACCTAAGTATTATAAATATTAGGAGTAATGTTAAAAGCATAGTCTAATAACTTAGGGTTTTAGACACGAATATGATTTTACTACTAGAACTAACGGAACTCGACAAGTCTACATGAGCTATTGTATTCATCAACTAAGATTGGAAATCTTAGGGAAAATCCTCTGACCTGTAACCGTTAATCCCGTGTGAGCGAGGAAGTCGTGTATGAATAAGATACGGGTTGACAACCCCACTCGTGATTGCTAGCTACAACAAAACCGTGTGCGAGTGACGAACTGTCCTTTTGTTTGTTTATTGTTCCGACGTTGATGAAGCGTATGGAACTTATCTCAAGATGCGAAACTTGTAGTATCAAGCAGAGGTTTGAAACTAGTCATATAGCCGCGGTTACGGACTCATGGTAGCAAATTGTTAGAAGCATTATACTTTGTCGTTATACAAGTATTAATGTTAAGTATATGTTTCCCAAACACTTATACTCTAGGTACAAGAAACTGGTAGGTATAATACTTGTATATTAAGTAGATAATTATACCTAACACACATACTCGTATAGAATTGAAATAGATTTATACGTAGTGGTTTTACTCGTATATAATTGAAATAGATTTATACGTAGCAGTTTTACTCGTATAGAATTGAAACAAGATTTATACGTAGCAACTTTCGTTTGTATGGAATTACAAACACTTATATTCATAGTATATCAGACTTATAGGTAAATTACTTATTTGGCAAGTAAAATTTTATACCCAGGATATATATACTATAAATTGGAGAGTCAAAATGATATTTTCAAAACTATACTTTTGAACTTGGAAAATGTATTATTTTTATATGGAGTCAAAACCTGTGGACTCACCAACTTTATGTTGACGTATTTTAAATTGCATGTGTTTTCAGGAAGTTGATAACTATGATACGAGAAATGACGTTACACCGCCCGGTGTTTCCGCCGTCGGCCGGGGTGTGACAAAAATCTAGTCTTTGGCATTGATACCAAAAGTAAAGATTTATATGGTGAATACATTGCACAACCTATAAACATGTATTAATGAACTATATATAGATTGTAATGTACATACTATTCATACCTTCATCACTCTCAGGAGGCCCTCTTGATATGCGGATCATCCCAAGCAAATAAATTGCCTCGAGACGATCCTCATCTCCTGCCTCACCCAAAAAACTCATACCAAAATCAAAATTGCCATTACAGAAGCACTCCTCCTGTTAATAGATAAAAACAATACCAATATTAAGACGAATGACACTAAAAATAAATTAAATCATATTACATAAAATTACTAAAATTACACATACCACTCCTTGTCTATACATAGCATCAAGGTTTTTATGCGTTGTACATTTATGTATAAATACATCAGCCTTAAGATCTTTAGGACCCATCCCTTCAAACATTTGGAGAGATGATTCTTTAAACACTTCACTTTCTTCCCCCGCTGCATACATCTTTTTTTAACTTCATAAATTGAAATATACAGTTAATAACTAATAAATCAAGTTGTATTTCATCAAATATACTTTCATAAGTTAATGTGTATTGAGAATTACCAAATTCTTGTAGATATGATGTCTTTTGCAGATTTTGACCCTAACATTACAATAATCCAAGTCAAAATCTCTACTGGTAGATCATCCAACGAACTATAACATCTTGTATTCGACATTCTACTTACAAAATACACATTGCATAAAAATGTGAAATACGGTGTATAACAGGCTAAGAAAAAAACCCTATTTTAATGCACTGGTCGTGGACTAAGTACCTTTTTCAATAATGTTGGGGAAAATCGACTTTGAGAGTGATTCTCTATCGACGATTTTGGGGTTTTCTTTGATAGTCGGAAGTTTGATCTTCGGGAAGATTGCAGACGTTCGGAAGGGTCTGAAGAATTGAAACGACATGATGGCGTCTGGCGTCAGAAACATCATGGCGCCTAAAAGATGTAGACTGCAAAAAAGACCAAATTTCCCTTGAATTAATTCCAAATATGTGATTACTAAGGGAATTTTTGTCAAAACACATTATTAAAAAAATTACCTTTTTGAGTAAACAACCAGTGCAATTATCTATGTCGTATCAAGAACCCATTAATTAATGATAGAATGGCCTAATTGCCCTTGTCAATACAATCATTAATGTTGGATTACAAAGGGTTTTTTGCAAAACAAATCAACTCAAACTATATTTGTATTTATATTTATCTTTATTAATTTCATGTTTGCTTATTGAATTGTTTATCAATATATGGTTGTAATATGAATCATTATAACAAATTATACAACATTGGCATAAAAATATTAGAACAACACAGAATAAAAAATTGAAATAGATTTTAACAACATCAAAGTAACTAATCTAATGTTAGAAGAACGTATACAATATAAAATCAACTAGTTTTATATTAAATAATAATAAGTAGATAATAAATTCTAAATATTAAAATGACAAAAGATTCAAATAAAAATTAAGATCTAATCTATTTACTAAGCTCATTACATTTCTTATTTATCATTTTAATCATGCCAAGAAGGTCTTCAAGATATTTTACTTCTTTTTTACCGCCTTGATCTCGTCATCAATATATTTGTATACAACATCTTTATGAATCAAGTTAGTTGCCTCGATCCGCCATTTCTTCTCCTCACAATTCTGTATGGAAGTATCAAGCCTTGCGTTGATAGCATTCACGTGAATACATGAGTACGCATCATCGATACTTTTTGTGAGAGCAAGCTTCTTTACTTCAGATAATATATCCGAAGAATTGTTAGCTTTGGATGAAGAAGCCATTAGTTTGGAATGAAGTAAGATGTATAAGATGTGGTGGTAGATAATATGCGTATATGGGGTATTCTATAGGAATAAAGGGCAGATATTGAATGGTCTCTAGTAATTAATATATATGGGTATTAGTTGGAAATAATAACAATTCCATATAGTTATCTACCCACATTGAAATGCAGTCCACTAGTTATCTACCCACATTAACACACAATTTACCCATATATAAAATAATAACAATTCCTTTTGTAAACCATCTTCTCTAAATTCAATAGTAATTAAAAAGCTACCTCTGTAAACGAAATTAATGGCTTATCTTGCATCAAACACAGCCTTGAGCGAAGATTTCATCGCCACCATTCGAGAAGACCTATAAAGGTTGGAATCAAGAATGAGAGTAATGAAGTCTCTTCTCCGACGATTTTTGAATGACGAGACAAAGATCAAAGAAGTTCTAGATGCTCTGTCGAAGGAGCAAGTCTCCAACGATATAACCGATGCAGAATACGAGATGCGTGTGGTGAAGTCAAACACGAGAGATCAGAATCAACATTTAATAGATTATATGATAATCTTGGATAGAAACATCAATATGAAGAAAGAGTTCCTAAAAACGGTTCTTCAATGATGTCGATTTAGGGTTGGAATTAATGCTATTTACTTTTAATCTATTTTTGATATGATCTTATTATATGTATAATTGCATATGCAAAAATTTTGGTCATGTAATTGACGATAAATCAAATATGAGATTTTCATTATATATATGGTTCAAATTACCAAAAATAAGTTCAATTATATTGTTGTTATTTAAGTTATGTATGTATATTGTTTTTAAAATAACTAAAGTAAAAAAACTGTTTCATTTAGTTTGATTAAATTTCAATGACAGATTTAAAGCTTTTAATTAATTATGAAAATGTTTGTTTTTATTCCTTTTTCAAATATACTGACACTATAAGCAACTACCACATGACCAAAGACCCATATGTCATCCATGGGCAATATCATGACATTATAAGCGACTATCACATGATTAATGACCCATATGTCATCCATGGGTCATACCATGACACTATAAGCAACTGCCACATGACCAATGACTCATATGTCATCCATGGGTCATACCATGACACTATAAGCAACTACCACATGACCAATGACACATATGTCATCTATGGGTCATACCATGACACAGTAAGTAACTACCACATGAACAATGACCCATATGCCATCCATGGGTCATACCATGACACTATAAGCAACTATCACATGCCCAATGACCTATATGTCATCCACGGGTCATACCATGACACTATAAGCAATCACTACATGACCATTGACCCATATTCATCCATGGGTCATAGCATGAGACGATAAGCAACTACAACATGACTAACAACACATAGGTCATCCATGGGTCATACCATGGCACTATCAGCAACTACCACATGAACAATGAACCACATGTCATCCATGGGTCATACCATGATACTATAAGTACCTACAACATGACCAATGTCACATATTTCATCCATGGGTCATACCAAGACACTATAAGCAACTACCACATGACCAATGACATATATTTCATCCATGGGTCATACCATGACACTATAAGCAACTAACACATGACCAATGACCCATATATCATCCATGGGTCATACCATGACACTATAAGCCACTACTACAAGACCAATGACCCATATGTCATTCACGGGTCATACCATGACACTATAAATGTTATATATATTTTATATTACAATGTTAATATTTTTAAATGTATATATATTAATTATATATTTTTATATTACAATGTTAATATTTTTAATTTTTGTATGTATATTTTTTTTAAATTAACTAAAGTAAAAGAAATGTTTCATTTAGTTTGACTAAATTTGCATAACGAATTTAAAGTTTTTAATTTATTATGAAAATGTTTGTTTTTATGCCCTTTTCAATATGACACTATAAGCAACTACCACATGACCACTGACCCATATGTCATCCATGCGTCATAGCATGACACTATAAGCGACTACCACATGACCAATGACCATATGTCCTCAATGGGTCATACCATGACTCTATAAGCAACTACCACATTACCAATGACCCATAGGTCATCCATGGGTTATACCATGACACTATAAGCAACTACCACAAGATCAACGACCCATATGTCATCAATGGGTAATACCATGATACTATAAATGTTAATTATAGTTTTATATATTAAAATGATAATATTTTTAAATGTACATCTATTAATTATATACTAGTTGTAAAACCCATGTATTACATGGATTGATTTTTTTTAAAAAAAAGAAGCTAAATATAAATGTCAAAGAATTTAAGAACTTTGAATTTATAAGAAAATAAGAAAAATAATGAATTATTATAATGGAGATGTTTTTTATCTTTTAAATTTAAACACATAATTTAAATAAATAAAATAAACTAATGAACTTTAATTTTGGGAATTTTGAAATTAAAAGGTAAGTTTATTAATGAAATTGATATCCATTTGTTACTACATTTATTGCAATTCTTACATTAAAATATTATATGGAATTTAATAAAATAGAAAAATTCATAAAATGACATGTGGAAAAAAAATAATTCAAAATAAACACAAAATGACATTGGGCAAATTAAATGAGAATGTGATAAGTGGCAAAAAACCTTCATTTATTAGAGAGGATTTTCATATTACGAAGTTAATATTTTTAATTCGTGTATGTATATTTTTTTTAAATTAACTAAAGTAAATTATGTTTCATGTAGTTTGATTAAATTTCCATGACAGATTTAATGTTTTAAATTTATTATCAAAAGGTTTCTTTTTATGCCCTTTTCAATTATTTTGACACTATAAGTAACTACCATATGACTAAAGACTCATATGTCATCCATGGGTCATACCATGACACTATAAGCAACTACCACATGGCCAATGACCCATATGTGATCCATGGTTCATACCATAACACTATAAGAAACTACCACATGACCATGACTTATATATATCATCCATTGGTCACACCATGACACTATAAGCAACTACTACATTTCCAATAACCCATATGGCATCCATGGGTCATACCATGACACTATAAGCAACTACAACATGACTAATGACACACATGTCATCCATGGGTCATACCATAACACTATAAGCACGTACCACATGACCAATGACCCATATGTCATCCATAGATCATACCATGACACTATAAGCAACTAAAACATGACGAATGACACATATGTCATCCATGGGTCATACCATGACACTATAAACAACTACCACATGAACAATGACCCATATGTAATCCATGGGTGATACCATGACACTATAAGCAACTACAACATGACCGATGGCACATATGTCATCCATGGGTCATACCATGACACTATAAGCGACTACCACATGACTAATGAACCATATGTCATCTATGGGTCATACCATGAACCTATAAGAAACTACCACATGACCAATGACCCATATGTCATCCATGAGTCATACCATGACACTATAAGCAACTACCAAATGACCAAGGACACATATGTCATCAATGAGTCATACCATGACACTATAAGCAACTACTGATGGGTATTATGTAAAACATGTAAAAACCTATGTGTGCATGCAACTTTAATTTAAGATCTATGTTTTCCCTAATTAAACATACCCAATTTGAACATCAATTGGGAAACCCTAATACTAGTAGTATAATTTGGAAATCACTAATAGGGTTAGGAAAACATACCTTAATTGTTATATAACAATAACAATGAAATCCTAGTCTTCTTGACCTTTGAGAGAAAGCGTAACAAATGTCACCCCTCTAGTGGTTCACACCCAATACAAGCAAGAGGATGAGAGAGGAGAGAAGAGAGGAGTGCTAGGAATTTTGGCTATTCTTTTATGGTTTCATGTGGATAACCTTAATTTGAATATAATAGAACAAATTACTGAAATCGTCCCTATGGTTTGGCAAAAATTACGTGTTTGGTCCCTAACATTTTTTTTGCACTCGGACCATCCCTATAGTTTTATTTTGTTGCGTCTTTGGTCCCTGTCAGAGGTGAAAAGACTGCATTGCCCTTATTTATTTCTTTTTTAATTAATTTATTGTTCGTTTATTATTAATCTATTTAAAAAGCTATTAATTAATTCATAATGGTCCCACCACCTACATCAATCCCTTTCTTCCCAATGACACCACCACATCCGTCCTCAAACCCCACCACCACCACTTTCAACGTCAAACACCACCACCTACGAAATCAAACACCGGCGTCATCGTCATCACTGCCATCGACCTCCACCTCCAACTCTATCGGTCTAAAAACTAAACCCAGAAATCATGCCCAATAATCATGAAATCGATGTGCTTAAGCCCATAAATTAAATCTGCTCAAACCGAAAAATCATGCCAGAAAAATACTCTGATGCTTAATCTCTTCAATGACCAGACAAATTAATTATTTAGAGTTTAATTTCTCCTTCATACTCAAGACAAATTTAACCACATTTTTAATAGACCCAATTAAATTGAAGTCGTAAAGAACAGGAACTTGTTTTGAAACAAATCAAACCTAAAACACCCATTGATTCTCTAAAATTCAAAAGAAAATCTTGAATATGTTCTAATATTTCAAAAGGGTTTTTATAAAATCTCTAATAACAAAACTCCTAAAGTTACAGAGTGCGATTTCATCTAGAATTACCGTCGCAGGAAGAAACAGAAGCAGCGGTGGTGGAGGTGGAGTAATGGATGTTCGATGGTGGCTGGTCGGCGATGAGGATCAAGGGAAAATTGAGAGAGGTGTGGATTGGGGAAGGAGAATGACGATTTAGCTTTCTCAATAAGTGAGAGAGGGTGGGTGAGGGGAGGAGATGGCTTTCTTAACCATGCTCTGATGAGTATACTGATGAACTTCAATTCTCAAACTTGGATCCGATGAACTGCAACCCCCAAACCAAATCCATCAATTGAAATAGGTTTGAATGATACAGGGAAAGAAAGAGAGGATTACGGTAGATGTAGGGTTCGTTTGACGATGGCTTACTCGTTACAAATATCGACGACGAGTATAGTGGTGGTGATCGATGGCTTCTTCCGACATGGCGACGGTAAATGATGTAGTTGAGAGAAACAGAGATATGAAGAGGGAACTGGGGAGGAGATGGTAAAGGGTGTGGGGGTGGGGCCACCCTAATTAATATTTTTGGCCCACCCTTTAATATTTTTAGAAAAGTAAAATTAATTATAAAAAAGATTAAAAAACATCAGAAAGGGTACTTTGGTCTTTTTACCTTTGACAGGGACCAAAGATGCAACAAAATAAAACTATAGGGACGGTCCGAGTGCAAAAAAAATGTTAGGGACCAAACACGTAGTTTTTACCAAACCACAGGGACGATTTCAGTAATTTGTTCAATATAATATTATTAATTCAAATTAGGTAATTGTCCACCTCTTTAATTATACACATGGGATATTCTAGAAATCCTAGAATATCCTTATGAAACCGTCCAAGCCTTCCCTAGGAACGTTCTAGAGCCTCTTGCTCAACTATTAAACAATTGCATTTTAGCCCCTGCACTTTTAATTAATCCTATTAATCCCAAAATTAATTCCAATTAATTTCTGATTAAATATTAATTAAATATTGCTATTTCTAATTAATATATTATTCTCATAATATATTAACAAATCAATTATTTCAATTTATTAAATAATAAATTCAACCTCTCTCTCCAAAAGTCATCTTGTCCAGTTGCTAGTTTTGAGGGCAACCCAAAAGGACTGTGCTACTATCAATTCAAGTATATACCAATTATAGTTATGGGCTTAGACACGTAATCCAACAGTCTCCCACTTGAATAAGTCTAATAACTATAGCTGCCAGTATAACTTCTAAAACTGATTAGCAAATTGTGGCTCTCAAAGCCGCTATCGAACTCTGACCCAGTCTGTTAAACTTCCTAAGATAATTGATCAAATATTCATCAGTTCTACAAGATATCGTAAGGACATAAGACATGCATTACAATAAATCTCATTATCCAAGTTTTGTTTCCCGATTTCTGATTTATGAAAACTGAAATCAGACTACCAATTAAACACATCAATTCAGTCCAGGCTTGGCCAAGCACTTTAGATGTCGACATCAAATCATCGACGGGCCCACAGATATCGCTTTTCCCGTTAGGGCAAAATGAACGAATAAACTTTGACTTATATGCTTGAACTATTTACTCATCAAATTATACACAACAATAAGTTTTATAACATCTAGTTACTAATGCGTTTACGTATTATCAATGCACAACTGACTTGTAAACAACAACTCATATATCTCCGTTTCAAGAATATAACATATTATCGTCTCAAAATTACTCGTGATAAATCCATGAAGTAATTCTCTGAGCGTGGGTTTATCCAATACTCAAAATCCCTATTTTCCAAGTACTCATGAACATTGCAGCAAAACCATTGCTATGTCTAATCTCCATAGACAATCTACAATTCAATTCATGACAGTCTTAATTTGCTACTTACTTCCAAAAGTACGAGCGAATGTGGAATTTCGAATAATCAAATTATTCAGGAAGTAAAACATGTGAAGTGAAATACAATAATAACCTAACTAACTATGGTCTCAAACTAATGAATATAAATAAAACTCTTATTATTTAATCACCAGATTAATTAGACTTTATTCATTGTATATTGTTTCGAATAATCAACTAAACACTTGAATTAAGCATCATTCATGCCATGTTATAAACATGAATACTATGTCTTTCTCTATGGTCCTTCCTTTGTGAACAGATCGATCAGATATTATTCCAATGATACTCATTTCACAATTTCAAATTCTTGTTACTACTAAATGTGTTAGAGTTCAACCTTGCATGAAATATCCTTTTTTGATGTTGAGCCTTCAAAGTCACATAGACTTTGCCAACTATATTATAAAATGTTCCATCGAAACTTTGTTACTTAAAACAATTTCATGGTAACGAAGTCTCAAGTTCAAGATACACTCCTTGAACATCTTCCTTGCATTAAAGTTCCTAACTCACGTCGTGGTGGCGGAACAGAATGACAATTTTGTTTTTCTTCTCCTTTTTCAAGTTCAACAATTGCAACAATTCAATATAAAAAAACCCTATGCTCTGATACCACTGATAGGTATTATGCAAAACATATAAAAACCTATGTGTGCATGCAACCCTAATTTTAGATCTATGTTTTCTCTAATTGAACATACAACATTTGAACATCAATTGGGGAACCCTAATACTAGTAGTATAATTTCGAAATCACTAATAGGGTTAGGAAAACATACCTTAATTGTTATATAGCAATAACAATGAAATCCTAGTCTTCTTGAACTTTGAGAGCAAGCGTCACAAGTATCACGCCTATAGTGATTCGCACCCAATAAAAGCAAAAAGAAGAGAGAATAGAGAAGAGAGGAGTGCTAGAAATTTCGACTATTCCTTTAGGGTTTCATGTGGCCGAAATTCATAAGGTGTAGACATCTATTTATAGTGCAAATATGATGCCCTAGATAACCCTAATTTGAATATAATAATATTAATTCAAATTAGGTAATCATCCACCTCCTTAATTATCCACATGAGATATTCTAGCAACCTTAGAATATCCTTATGAAACCGTCCAATACTTCCCTAGGAAGGTTCCAGAGCCTCTTGCTCAACTATTGAACAATTGCACTTTAGCCCTGCACTTTTAGTTAACCCCTTTAATCCAAAATTTAATTGCAATTATTTTCTAATTAAATATTAATTAAAAATTGCTATTTCTAATTAATATATTATTCTCATAATATATTAACAAATCAATTATTTCAATTTATTAATTATAATTTCAACCTCTCTCTCGAAAAGTCATCCTGTCCAGTTGCTAGTTTTGAGGGCAACCCAAAAGGATTGTGCTACTATCAATTCAAATATATATCAATTATAGTTATGGACATAGACACCTAATCAAAACCATACCACATGACCAATGATCCATATGTCATCCATGGGTCATACCATGACACTATAAGCAGCTACATGACTAATGACCCATATGTCATCCATGGGTCATACCACGACACTATAAGCAACTACCACATAACCAATAACCCATATGTCATCCATGGGTCATACCATCACACTATAAGCAACTACTGTTGGATAAGGTGTCTAAGTCCATAACTATTTCTGGTATGTACTTGACCCGACCCGCCATGGTCCATTTGGGTTGCATGGCACCATGCAATTGGATAAACTAAAATGAGAGAAATAACACTTATGGTTTATTAATATATTATAAGTTCTAATATATTAATAATATTATTTAATTAGTTTGATCAAGAATTAATTTAGAATTAATTAAGTGATCAAAAGATAACTAATTAAATATATGGGTAGATTATGTAAATCTTCCATATCTTATATAGTGGGCTAAGAGGCTCCATGGATTATCAAGTTGGGTTCCACCCATAGGATGCTCCATGGATGCTCCATGGGAGTTACAAACCCATGGGTCATGACATTAGGGTTTACATGGTGTAACCCTAGATGTGTCAACACTATATAAGAAACTCATTCTCCACCAAAATCGGCTACACATAAGAAACAAGAGGGCTAGGCCGATTTTAGAAGTGTGTATTCTCTCTAAAGTCATTCCAAAAGCATTTGGTGTTGTGTGAAGCATTTGAGGCATCACACTTGGGGTGCTAGGCTCACAAGGTTTCAAGGATCATAAGCAACAACAAGGTAAGTTATTCTATCCTTCATGCAAGTTAAAATTTGTTCCCCATGTATGCTAGATAGGAATATAACCTTGGAATTCAACTTTGCATGATAATTAGACAAACATAGATCCAAGGTTATTAGGGTTGCATGTACACTTAGGAAGTGTTAGAATGCTCAAAACCCATCAGTGGTATCAGAGCATGGTTCGTTTGTTGTTTGTTGTTTTTTTTTTTTTGTGTGCAAACAGCTTGAAAAAAAAATCGTTTTTCTGTTTTCTGCTCGTATGAAAGTTTGCACATTTGTTGCTGGAAATGGACTAGAAACATTACCCTAAACTGTTTTTGATGTTTTAAAGCTTGTTTTAGATGGTGTAATGTATATGCTAATCCATTTACAATGGCAATTATTAAAATTACAAGTTTTTTTTAAGTGTAATTTTTTATTCTTGAAAGTGTTCGTATTTATGTTCTTGAACTTATGAAGATTAGATGATCATAGGAATTGTTTGTAACCTTCATGGTAGTTTAATTCATGATCATAATGTGTTTTAATGGGGTCCATAACTTGTCCTCAAGTTATGGAAAACCAAAAGTCTCACTTTTATTAAAGCCATTAAAAGAACACAAGAGTTATAAAAATGAAGAGTCTTCATTTTTATTACTCCAATTAATTCATAAGTTATAAGAAATGAAAAGTTTTGGAAGTTTACACAACTTGCCCTCAAGTTTTGGAACATGTAAAGTCTTGATTAAAACTTTAGTTCCAACCCTTAGAATTTTAAAAGTTAAAATTCAACCCTTATACTTTATAATATTATAAGTTACTAATATATATATGTATAACGTCAAGTCGTCTTACCGCTAGTACGCCTCATTCACGAAGCCGGTCTATAACGGGGTATAAGGTTGTTGCCTATAAAATGGCAACTTAATGGGTGTCCACTCTCACCCACCGCTTCCTTGATCGGTGGAGGGTCGTTAGCCGAACGGGTAAGACAAGGACTTATAAATTCTCATTAAAAGTATGATGAATATTATAAAGTAACTAAATGCTTTTATTAAATTCTCAATCTTAGT